AGAAGTAGAGAGAATGGTGTAGAAATGAGAAGGGTTGGGTTCTCTTATATAATGAGAAGGAGAGAAGAAGAAAACAACTATGGTGACTCTGCGATCGGCGTAGTGGGGAAGGAGGCGTCGTTCGCACAGTGTCCCTGATTGGGACCAATTTTGGTTCCAGTCGGGGTACACTTTTTGGTCCAACTTTCTCCGAATTGAATTCCGTTTGCACCGTTGCGATCGGGCAGTTAAACTCTATCTAACGATATAATTTTTATATTTATTTGTAATACTTTTTCCGACATCATATTTTTGGGTGTTTGACCTTAACAGAGTCAAAATTGGTTTAATTGACCTTTCTCATAAAAGGTTCTCTCATTTAATTCATATCAATTATTCTAATGATTTATTTCAACAAATCAATTCAATATTTACATTCTAAACAAATTCTTTATTTACTCTTGATTTGGGTCTGTACTCAGGTTCCCAATCAAGACCACACAAATAGTCCACATATTGGATTTATCTCTATGAGACTTATCCAGATTTTGATATTAGATGTCAAAACAAATTTCGTATCGGCCCAAAGCCCAACAATAATTTATTTTAATCAAAACAAATTTGATTAATTGATTATTTATTCATTAATAATTCTAGGGTATATTTTGGGGCGTTACAAATTAAGCCTATTACATTTAGAGATGTAACTAAAAATAGCTATTGATGTCAGGCAATGGATGAGGTATTTAATGCCTTGATAAATCAAAATACATGGGTATTTGTTCTAGCACCCTCAGATTGGGTTCGTATTGGTGTAAGTGGGTTATAAAATCAAGCGAAATCCTGATGGCTATATTTCCAGGTACAAGGTACAGTTAGTTGCAAAGGGGTATACTAAAGATTGAGTATAGTTTGGATTATTCTGGAACCTTTATTCATGTTTTCAAGAAGTAGACCATATGGATTATTTTATCCTTAGCCCTCCCTCGTAACTGGCTGGATGTTTCAAATGCTTTTTTCCATGGTGACGTTTCAGAAAAATCTATATGCAGCAGCCTCCTGGCTACATAAGTCTACATTTCCCACATCATGTGTATCAGCTCTAGAAATCCATGTATTGTCTTAAACAGACGCCTCGTGTTGAACATATTCATCGGTTTGGGTTCTTACTAGACTACGGCTTTCGTAAAAATAAACATGATACCAGTTTCTTTATTATGCACACATTTTAGGGTGAACTTATCCTTCTTTTTTATGTTGATGATATCATTGTTATATGGATCAATTCTACACTTATCAATCACTTTATTCTCACCATGCAAAGGGATTTCCAGATGAAGAGTCTTGGCCCTCTTGATTCTTTTTTGGGGCTTGAAGTCAAACGAGCTTCCAACTGTCTTATTCTCTCTTAAGAAAAATATGCACGCCAACTTCTCCATAAGGCTGGGATAAGGGATTGTAAACAGACTCCAAATTCTATGCCGGTTCGGCCAGCCGATGATGCCGCCCTCATGCATTTTGCGAATCCTACCTTTTTGGCAATCTTGATGGTGGTCTTCAATATCTTACCAACACAAGACTTGATATTCAGTTTGCCATAAATTTGTCAGTGCATGCATGTGCCCAGTGAACATGACTTTAACTCTCTTAAGAGGATCTTACGGTACATTCATGGTAGTATTGGTCAAGGATTGGTGTTTCAGTCCATCTCTCCTGGTCTACTCTCGTATTCTGACTCCGACTCGGCAAATGATATGATAGATGGTAGGTCCATTACAGGTTATTTGATTTATTTGGGTCCTAATCTTATCTCTTGGAGTGTAGGAAACAAAGTCGAGTCTCCAATTCCTCAACTAAGGTTGAATACTGAGCCCTTTCCACTGCAGCATGTGAGGTGTTGTGGTTGTCATACCTTTTGAATGATCAATATGTTCTGCTGCCTCCTCCACACTTGTTTTGTGACAACTAGTCTACCACTTGTTTAACTAAAAATTCAGTGTTCCTCAAGCTTAGGAAACATGTCTCCACTGATTGTCACTTTGTTCGCAAACAAGTCATTGCTAAACTATGACTATTTCACATCTTTCATTTGCGGAGTAGCTCGCTGATCTCCTCACGAAGACCTTGCCCTCTCCACGGTCCATGGATCTTGTGTCCAAGCTTCCACTCATTTCATGTTGTTCAACTTGAGGGGAGGCAGGAGAATAATAATAATATCTATACTTATGATAGTTTATGATTCCTTCCTTAATTCTTCCTACTCCTGTTTATGGTAGGGCTCTCACCTATATATACTCTGTTGTACTCTACATTATTCCTTGAGTAAATACATTACTTCATTTATTAACATAATTTATTGTTTAAAGTGAGGATATGAGAGAAAGAATATGAGCCAAAAAGTTTTAGAGACGTTTTGAAAAGAACTTTTATTATGCAGATCTTTTAAAACGGTTCTTAAATTAAAATTTTATTTATAAAAGAAGTCAACCCATAGTTTTGAAAACCGGGCAAGACCAACCAGTTCGAAGCGGGAATTGGTGAACAAACACTAGAACATATTGTACCGCTTTGTGTATTGAACTGCCAAGAACCGGCACCGGGAACATTTTTTTGCAAAAATGTCCAATTCTATTGTTTAGAACTTATAAAATACACTCTCTATCTCTAAATAAACTTTTATTTCTACACTATTAATGAAAAAATTAAATAAAAAATAATTTTAGTTGAATATCCTAAACTCTAAACTGGAATTTATTTTTTAGAAATATTTGCACTAAATAGCACTAAAACTTAAGTCATTTTTCTTTAAATAGCACTTAAATTATTTTATTCCCTAAATAGCACTTAATAATGTCTATAATGACTTGTGATGGCAAACATTTACTTGAATAATGACTAATGGATAATGACTAAAAGTGCTACATTGGAAAAAAACACATGTAGGGCTATTTAGGGAAAGTCATTATGTTTTAGTGCTATTTACGTAAATTCCTCTTTTATTTATAGATAGAAAGAGTTTTATTTTTTTCATGCACATATAATACATACAAAAATATTCATATATATTAAACACACTCTAATATATACTCCATATTATACATATATATATATATGTGTGTGTGTGTGCGCGCACACACACACACACACACACACACACACACATAATATATATATATATATATATATATATATATATATATATATAGACACACACACACACATGGTTATACATATTTTTATTTTAAAAATATGTTTGAATAACTAGTTCAACTAATCGAACCATGGGTTCGACTAGTGAACGAGTAAATCAGTATCTCGATTGATTAGATCACTATATGTATCAAAATATGAGGCCGGAAAAAATCAAAATAAGGGGCTGTTTGTTTCAGCCTCTTAATGGTTGAGATGTCTGAATGATTCAGCACTTAATGATTCAAACTGTTTGTTTCAGCCTCTTAATGGTTGAGATGTCTGAATGGTTAATAGATTTGCCTCTGAATGGTTAAGTATTATACAGAGTCTGAATGGTTAAGAGCTGTTATCTGAATTGATCAGACATTTGCCTCTGAATAGTTAAGCAATATACTAGCTCTTAATGGTTCAGACCTCTTACTGGTTCAGCATTTAATGATTCAGACCTCTTACTGGTTCAGCACTTACCCATTCAGAAGTTGCCAAACAGCCCCTAAGACTTTCTTATTTTTATCCCAAAATAAGACATAGAAATGTCAATAATCTCAACTTATAATTTCAAAAAATATTGTAGAATGCAAATATACAATGTCAACTAGTTACAATGCAAAGTTTTATTTCGAGAATATAAATTTGTCACTCCTATATTGAGGTCATGCACTGTGTTTTACTTCTATATTCGCCTATTCGGTGAACTATATGTATTCTCTTCGTTCCACTAGTTTTTTACAGAATAATTTATTATGTTGGATTAATCTTATTTTTTATTCAATTTGTATGTTTAAAAAATATACGAAAGAAGAAGTGACATTAATATGTTATTTATCAAATCTTTAGAAGAAGTAATTTGATTTACCAATAAGACTCTGTTTGGTACACGGAATTCAAATTATGGAATTAGAGAAAATAATTCCAATTTTATTATTTGGTAACACAAAAATATGTGGATTTGGAATTGGTTGTTCCAACAATAAATTGGAATTGGAGAATTCAATTTCATCCAAATCAATTTCATAGATTTCAACTCTCAATTTAATTCTAATTCCCTCAATTTCGTTTACCAAACCGACTCCAAATGTAAAGAGTCAAATGAGACAAAAGACTGTCAAAAAAAAAAGTGGGACCGAGAAAGTATATTCAAAATTTAGAAGTCAATGATTTCATAGTTTCCCCCCTTTAAGTTTAGCCTCTCAAGTCTGAAATCTCACCGCACAGGTTTTGTTTTTAATTTTTTTTGGGAGGTTTTTAAATTTTTAAGGTCGTGAGTGTAATTGTTTTTGGAAAATGCTAGGGGCATCCCCCACCCCCTCCATCACCATACAAAAAAGGCAAGAAAAATTCAAAAAAAAGTAAAAATAAAAATAAAATAAAATGAATGATAAAGAGGTGGGGTGGTGTACATTTGGGATACACCTTTGGTGTACCCCTAGCATAACCCATTGTTTTTCTCCGGAAGTTTAGAACTTTTGTATAATTGTTCGCTATAAAGGTACACTAGTTTAACTACTACCTAGTGTTTGTATGAAGCCCTCGATTAAATTCTTCTTCTTTACGTACCGATTTCATCACACACTTCGATCCAAAAGGTGGAATCGCCCACCCCAGGCGCCCCCATCCCCTTGCCCGACAGGAATGGTGGAGGATGTAAATCATGGTGACTCAGTCGGCCAAGAACGCTAGACCCGATTTCATCACACACTTGAATACCGTTGAAGATGCTCAGTGAGATATATAGGTGGTTTTTAACACATGGAAGATATATTTTTCTTGAATTAATCGTCTAATTTTTCTTTTCGATCAGTACATTCCAAAACAACTGCATTACTACTTTATTTTCCAAATAACTAAAAATTATATGGTCTGAATCTCTCTTAGTCATGATCATACAACTAATTTAATCAAAAGTTCAAGTTCGTTATTGTATGTCCAGAAAATGTTTTTTATATATTCTAACGTGCCCCTTATGTGCAAGCGTGGTTACTTTGAACTTTGGACGTCATATCTTAATTTCACTTATTTAATGGTAATTTACCTAAATAGTACTAAAACATAATGATTTTCTCAATATAGAACCATATGTTTTTATTTTCCCAATGTAGGACCATTAGTTATTATTTATTAGTAATTATTCAACTAAATATCCAGCATCACTTGGACATTATTCTTCTCACTAGTCACTATTAAGTCCTATTTAGAAAATAAAAAATTTAAGTCTCACATTGAAAAATGACTTATGTTTTAGTCCTATTCAGTGCAAATTTCACTTATTTAAATTGGGTAGCGGTGACTTTTAAAGTAATGACCTCTTAGTCAACAAACTCTGATACAATGTCATATTGTCATTGATCAAGAAAGCAATTCAACTAAAATCTCAACTTGTGGTTGTAAATCTATAAAAGTTTTTTAAATACACTTTAACACTTATATAATCAAATTTGAACAAAGAACTCTTTTTTTTTCCAACATATTTCCTAGACTCCGTGACCTAATACCAAATTACCAACCAACTCATCAAAACCGCGTCTGCCTCCCCGTGCCCAATTAGTCCAAAAGGGATGAATAAGTGCGCTTTAAGCCTTTAATGAAATTTGAAAAGTGTAACATGTTTAGAAATTTATCCCAAAAAAAGTCTATGCATGTAACGCATAGGGTAGCTAAATATGTGGAACATGTTTAGATATTTGTATAAATAAGGAGCCGTTTTCAGCTTGGTCAAAGGTCAACCTTAGGTTAAAGAGTTCGAAAAAAATGGGGTATACAAGGGTTGCACCTTTAGGCTTTGTTTGGATTTGAAAGGAAAATGAGAGGAAAGAAAATGAAATCAAAGAAAATGAGAGGAAAGAAATTGGAAAGAAAATAAAAAGAAAATAATTATTGTTTGGATAGGTAAAAAAGAAGAGAAAATGAGAAGAGGAAAGAAAACATGATTAAGCCAAAAGACATTAATGCCCTTATCATAAAGTAACAAAAAATTAAAGAAAAAAAAGTTGTACTTCGTAAATTAGAAAAGAGGCAAAGGGCAAACATGTCATTTCATGCATTTTCTCTCCATGTGTACGTTTTCTCTTCAAACGTGTAGAGAAAATTTTTTAAGGTTTTTTTCCACTCTTTTTCTTTCCTCTCCCCATTTTCTATTGCAAACAAACAAGAGAAAAGATCTAGAAAGTTGTGTTTTCCTCCCTCCACTTTTCTTTCCTTCCAAAATCTCCCCATCCAAACACATGCTTACTTCTACATACACAAAGTATATCACAGGATAACATAGACATATATAGATAATAATTGTCTGTATAATATACAAACAATTGTTAGTTCTGTGTATCTTTATATATTTAATAGAAATCACCTAAATAGGACTAAAACATAGAAAAAAGTACCAAAATAGGACTTTCGTGTGTTTTCCTCGAAATAGGACTTCGCACTGTGGTATTGTGACACTGTACATGTGCACCTTATTATGCTTTTTTGTAATATACATGACCATGTTTGGTAATGTAAATGCATTTTAATTTCTATTTTGGGAATAAAAATAGGAAAGTATTATTTTGGTATATTTTTAATGTTTTAGTCCTACGTTGGTATTTATTTCCATACATAATGTACAAGTTATAGTACAAATTTGGTGTAGCGAGTACCCTTGTACACCTATAAAGACTTCGAGTGATACGAATATCGTATCGAATATGGAAGAACTTCGAGCCTCTTCGGGCTCCAAGAAAGGGGAGATAAAGAGAGAAGGAAAACTTTGAGCGTTTTCGAGCTCCAAGAAAAGAGAGACAAGTGATTAAGAGAATTCTTGATTATTGATTGATTGAATAATAATAACGAAAGGTTACAATATATAAAGATGCAGAAAACCCTAATTGACCTAATGGGCTCGGGCACATACTAAAACCCTAAACTATCAATAAATAATAATAATAATAATAAATAACTACTAAATAATAATATAACTAATTAAAATATTAAAATTAACTATCGGTATCATCGAGTTTCTTAATTTAAAATATAAAATCAAAAAGGGAGTATGGGTGAACCGATGAGGAGCGTTATGTGCACTGATGTTCAATTTTCAAACTTCCTTTCTATTCATACGAAAAAAACAACTAACTATGGATGCAATAGAAATAAAGGGAGCAATTTCATAAATGGTCCTTAACTACATATGGTTTTCTATATGTAGTGCCAAATTTAAGATATTCTACAAATGGTCCTCAATTTAAAAAAAAAATATTTCATAAATAGTCTTTTAAGTCAAATATATATAAGAAAATATTTTTTCTACAAATAGGCCATGAATGATTGATTATGAAATAGTTTCAAAAATTAAAGAACATTTATGAAATACCTAAGGATTGAAGACTAAATATGAAAAACCACTTCTAACTATCGACCATTTAAGAAATTTATTCAAATAAAGTGGAGACAAACACTCATTAGTGAATGAAAGTTGCAATCATTACATTTTGACTTCTCTTTTTTAAAATAACATTTCAATCGGGTATGTAAGAAAAGAAATTATCCTTAATAAGAGAAAAACATTGAGAAAGTATCAAAATAGTAGTTCTACGTTTTTATCTCTAAAATAAGAGTCCATAGTGTGGTAATGAAACACTGTATATTGACATTTCATAATACTTTTTGGTAATGTATACGATCATAATTGGCAACGTAAATACATTTTAACTCTTATTTCGAAAATAAAAACAAAGAACTCATATTTTAGATGTTTTCTATGTTTTACTCCAACTTTAGTGGTGAATGCTGTTGACATATTTGCAAGGAGAGCATCTCAAACTTCATCACATTTAGGGGTAAATTTCACAAATGGTACCTGAACTTTAGCTGGAATTTCGAAGTGGTACCTGAACTTCAAATCCTTTCACAAAAATCCCTGAACTTACACAATCCTTTCACTAATGAGCCATTAGCCCGTTTCTAGGTTAACTTCCGGTCATTAGGGCCAAATGACCGGCGGGCGGGTCGGAGCGTTTTCCGGCCAACTCCGGCGAAATTGACGGCGGGCACCAACGCCAATTCGGTCGTGGCATCCGGGCGACCTCCAAGGACTCCTCAATTGCAAGATTTGATGAAGATTTGCAAAACCCCCAATTTTGGATCCAATTTCGAATTTTAGGGTTTTTTCGAGTAGAAAAATTCAGATTCGAGAAGTTACAGGCCAAATTAGACAAAATGGTTTGGATATTATTGATCCTCGTCTCAAGACGAAGAGAATGACATTGGTCCCGCTGGAATCGGAAAAAGTTAATTTTCCGGCGACTTTGACCGGCGGGCGGCGGCGGGGCGTGGAAGAAAAGAAAAGAAGAAATGGGGTCAAATTGAAAATTTTAAAATATATAAAATTCGAATTTGGCCCTAATGACCGGAAGTTAACCTAGAAACGGGCTAATGGCTCATTAGTGAAAGGATTGTGTAAGTTCAGGGATTTTTGTGAAAGGATTTGAAGTTCAGGTACTACTTCGAAATTCCAGCTAAAGTTCAGGTACCATTTGTGAAATTTACCCTCACATTTAGTGTTTTCAATCTCACCTTCGCGCTTACACTACAAGAATTCGTTTGTCGCAAAACACACACACGCACATAAAGAATCTAATTTTATTAAATTCATATAATAACTAAATTCTCTTATAT